CTATGTACCTATTTAATGCATAGGGTAGCATTTTATATATACATATAGATTTAATTAATTAAATTTTTAATGTCCATTGTATGATTTTATTTTCTTTATGAATTCAAAAAACTTTCAAAATACAAACAAAACTAATAAAAAACTCTTTCAAAATTAGATATTAAATAAGTTAAATATTACTTTTGGTCTCTTAACTTTATAATGTTGTACAATTTTTGTCCCTCAATAATTTTTTATATTTTTTTATCTCTCAGCTTTAAAAACTATACAATTTTAATCTCTCTATTAGGTAACGCAATTAACTGAGTTCATATGGTATTTTTCTTATTTTTTTAATGACACATTAATAACAAATCATTTAATTAACTTAGTGGATAATGTCAAATTATCAAATTAGATTCAATTATCATTTTTAATTTTATTATTTATTACTCATTATCTATTAAATTTTAATTATTATATCAAATATATCCTAAATTAAATAAAGAGATTTAAAAAAATATTATGTTCACTTATACAATCCAAAATGTAAATAATAATAATAATAATAATAATAATAATAATAATAATAATAAACTTTACAGCAACGTTTTAAAAACCGGATCGGACCGGCCGGTTGAATCGGTCGGACCGGTACCCGGTATTAAAAACGGTTCGATTCAACATTTAGAACCGGTAGAGCGGTTGAACCGGTCAAAACCGGTAAAACCGTTCCAACCGGTACAAACCGGAAAACCGTTCAACCAGACGGTTTAAATCCTTTGGAGGATTTACCTTAAATTTGCTACCCCGGAGGCTTGAACACATGACTTGAAGAAGATTTTCTGTGACTTTTGCCATTAGGACGTTACCTCTTTGATTGAAATGATTTGCTAACAATTTTATTTATGTTATTTTTGAAAGAAAAGAATTGACGATGCCATCCAATAGGATCGAACTTTCTTCCTTCCCTTGTATCAATTTTGATGTTAAAATTAATATAGTGTTACTTTAATTTTTATCTTAAATATATAAATTAAAAGTGTGATAAATATAACTTTTTGTAATTAATTTATATAAAAAAAAT